GTCTGTGCAGGTAAGCCAGTTATGATCATCACTGAGTACATGGAGAACGGATCCCTCGATGCCTTTCTCAGGGTGGGTTTTGTTTGTGTTTTATTTCAAGCACATCTTTTTGACCCAGCGGTCATTTAGTACTCTTGTGTACATTATTGGCTTAAACATCTTTTAACTGTAAATGTTGTTCCTTCTTAGAAGAACGATGGGCGGTTTACTGTAATTCAGCTGGTGGGCATCCTGCGTGGAATCGCTTCAGGAATGAAGTATCTATCTGATATGAGCTACGTTCACCGTGACTTGGCGGCACGCAACATCCTGGTTAACAGTAACCTTGTGTGTAAAGTGTCTGATTTTGGCATGTCTCGGGTTTTGGAGGAAGATCCAGATGCTGCTTACACTACTAGGGTAAGTTTGAGACATATTATTTGTTTGCAGCCTTGTGTTTGCAGCCCTAACACAAGCTTTCTAACCCAATATCTTCAGCATTTAACCCGCATGTGCTTACATGAAGTGCTAGTATCTTTTCAAGTATTATAGAAATTAGCAAACTAACCCCAACATTGAGTGCCTAGTGCATGCATGTGTGTGTGTGCATGCGTGTGTGTGATTAACCTCCATGCATGTGTTTGCTATCTCTTTTGAAAGGAAATAACAGGAACCTATCAATCACAGGGAGGCAAGATACCTATTCGCTGGACCGCCCCCGAAGCCATTACATACAGGAAGTTCACCTCTGCCTCTGACGTATGGAGTTACGGCATTGTCATGTGGGAAGTGGTGTCATATGGAGAACGGCCATACTGGGACATGAGTAACCAGGATGTAAGTGTTTTAAAAGGAATGGGCAAGGTTGATTCAGAGCTTCAGTGTATAAATTATCAGCTGTTGTGTTTAACACCATTTGGATGTTTTGTTTCAGGTTATAAAGGCAATTGAGGAAGGCTACAGACTGCCTCCACCCATGGACTGTCCAGTTTCTTTGCACCAACTGATGCTGGATTGCTGGCAGAAAGAGCGTGCCGAAAGGCCAAAATTCAGCCAAATTGTCAACATGCTGGACAAACTCATCCGCAACCCCAACAGCTTGAAAAGGACGGGAGGAGAGATTGCCAGGTAGTAAATAAATTTCACATAAACCAAGGTGCAACATGTTCCTATTTTTTTGAAGGGCACCAGTCACAGTTCTGGTGCACTTTCCCTATCTGATGTCTTTCCATATCCATTTTTATTTTATTTTTTTTTCTTCAACAGTTGTTTTCAAAAACAGTTTTTTGGAAGTTGCATTCATTTTTTTATACATAAATATGATAAAAATTATTCATTATATTTATTATATTTTTTATAATATATTATTACATTTTTGTGCATTTTTTATGCAATTTCCAACTATATATTTTTATTATATATATATATATATATATATCTGAACCCACGGGATCAGAACACACAAACTCGAAACATACTTTGGACTTCCTTTTTTTATTTTGGTTCTAAGAAAATCCATTTACCTCATCCATGCACTTTAAATTAAATTTTGGGAAAAAATACAAAAAAAAACAAAAAACAGAAGAAGATTTCAGAGGAACGATACAGCACTTTTCTTCCCCACCCCATCGACCAGTCAAGAGGATCGTCCCGCGCTGTAATGAAGCTCTGGATATGATTGTAGGAAGCTTTTCATTTCAATGAAACTACGAAGGAGTTTCTCTGTTAGTTTATTTGATTTTTGTATGTATGTGCCTGTAAGTAAATGTATAAATAGTACAGGATTTTTTTGTCTGCTCCTGCCATTTCACGGGAACTTGAGTGAGCAGCACCTGGCGGAATTTTCACACTCGAAATGGAGGCGTCAGAGATCAAGATTTTATGCACTCTTTAACGCTTTTGTTCCGGGGATTTCGGAGAGGCATTCATTTTCCCAACATCCACAATAGAAGACCAACTCTGGAAGGTCTCCAGGTCTCCCCACCCTCAGAATGGAATATCTGTCTCCACTCCACAATTCTCCACACTGTTCCATTTGGCCTGTGTTGGAATAGAAAAATCAGCCCTCAGTTTACATCTTTCTCTCTCCACCTCCATCTCTATCCGTGCCCTCTCTGTCCTCGCCTCTCTGTCTCCGGAGACCTTCAGCGGTCCATGAAATCAACACATGCCTTACTGGAAGTTCCATCAGAGCTGAGCTAAGGTAAGCACAAATGTTTATGGGATCTGCTCTACTTCCTCTCTGTCCCCTGCAGTTATTTATCCGCTCATTAGTTGGGATTAGAACCAGTACAGATGAATACAAGGGATATATATCGGTGCCATTTGATGGGATGAGCTCAAAATGAAAACTGAGCCGAAAATATGAAATGTGTTTTTCCCATGCTCCCCAGCAACAGAGCGATTTCAGTTTCCATACTCTGTGGATTACTTCAATTAATGCTGCATTTGTGTGTCCTGGTCTGTTTACAGAACGCGCTCTGAATCCCTGAATCATAATCATAATCATTTTCTTTTTCTCTCTCTCTCGCTCCACAGAGTCACCTTCACACATCTGCTCCGCAGCGATATCTGCTGTGCAGACTCGCATCCATTGCAGTTTCAATAACTACACTTACTTGACACCGGGACAAAAGACTTCAATTCCCATGATTCCCAGCAAATGCTGAATGCTTCCACGACTGAAAACATGACAAACAACCTGAGGAGCAGTTGAAGGCCCTTCGGTTGTCTCCTAAGAGATTTGATGAGAGATATAATGAACATTTTCATTTGGTCTCAATCTTGACAGGAAAAACTCTCCGTTCTCAGTGCAGCATGTTGCTGTTTTCTTTGAAGGATGACGGTTTGTTTTGAGGCACATACACAAAGGACAAAAGCACATGATGTGTGCTAAGACTGCAGAAATTTGTGGCTACTCTCTGGAGACCGACATACTGGAGTTGTTTGCTATATACGCTAAGCCACTGCTGTTCTTCGCTTCTTACCAATTCTGGAGGTTGTAACTAAAAAACACGCCACATTTATTTGAGTCGTTTGACTCCAACCGAAAAGATTTCAATACTAATTCCAGTGGTCTGAATGTGGACTGCAAGAAGAGGCACGTTATTTGTACCTAAAATAAACCTATTACAGGAATGTTTATGAAAAGGGAACATTTTTGTTTTAACATTTCAAGTCTGTTTCATGTCAACCACATCCATCCGTCCGATCTGAGAGACTTCTTGTTAACGTGACGCAAGTGCTTCTTGCTTTCTTCCCGTTTCATTTTTCGATATTCCCTCCTCATCTGTTTAGGACCTGTTTGGAATATGCAATGAATGTGAGAGGAGAGAAATTCAGTAGAATGTACCGTGCCAAGTCTCCTAATGTTGTTTATTCCAGAGGAACACTAACAAATCACAATTTTTCCCAGCAGATCTGGACATTTTAAGTTTAATGTTGTGCATAATTGTGTGTTTTCCTTCTCTTCCATTTTTTATTTTATGAATTTAGGTACAAGAAACATGTCATTTATTTATGGTCTTTTTTTTCTAGTTTGTAAATTGTAAAATAGAGCTATGAGAGAAATAAATGATTGCCAAGTGCATTGTAATTAACGTCTAAAGTGATTTATGTGGCTAATTCTGCTAATTCTCTGAAACGGATTGCTGGAAAGGTATTTAGATGGGCCATCTGATGAGGTATTCTCACATGGAGAGAAACAGATCTGGTGTTTATATCCACATAAAGTGGCAGCCGAGGGTGAGAGCGGACAGTTGGCTCCAATGCTGGTCACATATTTCTATTACATTTTGGCCGCAGTTGAAACGAAACGGTCGAATGTGGTGGTATAAACAGGTTTGTCCGTCTTGCCAGTAGCATTCAGATTATTTTGAGTTTCTCTTCTCCTTTTCACCCATCATTCCTCTCCTCGTCTCATTCAGCCTGAGCTTGAAGTGAGTGTTTGTGTAAACGCTGATTGTGAGTAAAAGCAGCTTGGCAGGGATAACCAACACATTAAAAGCATATAAAAAATAAGAGAAAAAAATTAGCAAATTCCTCCCCGACGAACAATTTCAACAATCAAACCGTATTATGGTTGAAGCGGCAGCAGAAGAGGGGGCTGCCCGTGAGCGCCTGCATTTCGTCAGCCTTTCCTTTTTTTTCTTCTCCCCCTTCCTTTTTTTTCTTTAAACTTTTTTCCTGTCCTTTCTGCACTTTGAATGGGCCGTAATACAGCCGCTTTGGCACGGTACGCCTGCTTAATCAGTAAACATCTGTTTCCCACAGCCGTCCCAGTCGCAATGAGGGCTGATTGTGGAAAGCCTTTGATAAATAAAGGAGAGAGGGAAAAAAATAAGGAGAAAACGTAATTTTAGAATCCCAGAAAACCCTGCCGTGAGCCAAGCAATGTTTTTCCTCTGACAATCATTCTAATGAGAGATTCATTCATTATGCATGTATTTAGACGCCCGTCACCCTGGGAAAAAATACAATATAAAAGGAAGGATGGAGAAAAAATAAAGTTTAAACTTTGCTCAGGAAAGACTCATCTGCCTGAATCTGGTTGATATGTAATGAGGAAGAAAAACAGCAATCCTGCTGAGAGCAGAAAGAGAGAGTACAGGAACTAGAGTGTTTTGATAGCTCTTGATGAGGTTTAACAGGAACGGTGTGGACCAGGACTTAGATTCTAGGAGGATGGTGAAGGACAGCGTGTGTCTGAGGACCCCAAAACAGCTTACAACTGCAGTCTGAGAGAGTCATGCTACAAAACAAACCCTGAATCCATGTTTTAATCCTTAAACCCTGGAACAGCACAATCTGAACCATCAGGACATAAACCAGGTCTTACATTTTATATGAATCCGTTATAGTGTCCTATATCTGTCCTCTGTGAGATCTGTGTATTATAGTACTGGCGTCTTTTATCAGCTATCAGTCTTTTTCAATAGCCACTTTATCAGTTCTTTTTAGCAACTTCCAGCACATGGATTTTTAAAAAAGAGAAGAAAAAAGTAAAGATTAACAATCGAAATTCGGAGCAGAAGCAGCAAATGAACTCATTCCCTCTCTTTCATCTTGTCCTATCCCAGACAAGCATTGAAAATGTCTTGAGTTGCTGTTAGTAAAGATGTCACCAAATATTTGCAGAAAAAATAAAATCTTACTGTAGCTCTGGCAGATTTTTTTTTTTCACTAAATAAAATACAAAAATGTGCATTATTAATTTAGTTAGTTCTTCTTCTTTTTTTTTTTTTTTTGCTGTGTTCAAGATTGAGGGAACCCAACCCAGACAATATAACCCATATTGGCCATGGCTGTTGGGGTTAAATAACCATTAACTGAATGTTAAATAAGTGATCAAAACAGATCCTTTCAGTTCTTGACAAATGGTTGGTGGGAACTTTTGCATTTTGCATTTCCATAATCAGCCTTAAGCTTTAAGAGACCTCTTGTCTAATAATCCCTATATACAAACAGCTGTCCTGGTGTGTGTGAAGACCGTTGTCTTGACCTCCCTCTGAACTGAAAGAATCTCTCTGGCTCTAGATCAAGATGGCATTTCAGGACACATTTCAGTGATACAATGCAGATTAATTATTCAGATCAGAACAAAAGATTATTACAAATTTTTTTTTTGTTCAGTCTTATTTGCAGAAAAGGAGAATAGAGTGAACTTATTAAGGAATATTGTCAATCAGCAATAAATAATTTTCCTAATTTAGATTTTGATTTAGATTTTCCACTGGCAAATCAATTAGCAAAAACATTTACCAATGGGATAAGATAAATAAACGTTTAAAAAATAAGATTTTTTTCCCCATGCTCCCATAAATATATTTTATGTATATAATTACAGTTGCCGAGAACGCGCTGCAACTAAATAAAACACAGGCAAACAAAAAAAAACACCAGAAAATTAAGAAGAAAATCTTTATCAGTCTGACAACACATACTGCAAATACTCACAATGCAACCATAAAGGTAAGCGCTCTGAACATTCAAGGCAAAAACAGAAACGCGCTCCAAATACTCACAACGCAACCAAACACAGAAACACACGCATGCGCATGCTTTCCTCTGCTCGTAAACAAGGCGCAGCGCATGCTTGGGCTGCATTCCGGTTCACTTTTAGACACCACTTGC